GCAAATATGCTACTGTGACATGTGAAATGTGTGTCTGTAAGAAAAAACATGTCTTCTGCTTAATAAGGAGTTGCTGCAGACAAGCGCAGTCCCAGCGGAGAACATTGAGTTTTTACTTGTTCTTGGGAAAGAGCTCATGAAACTTGAAAACTATATGGAAACAGAAACCCCGGGACCTTTCCAGTCAAGCGCGGCACTGTTTGGATTCATTCAAACAGTCCTCTGAAGTTTGAAGGTTTATGGGCAATCGGTTCCTCACGGACTTGACTTAATTTTCAACAGGGGACACCTCACACTTAATCTTCCATTTTACCCAAGATAAATGGAAAGGAATTAGAAGATACCTCACTGAGTTTGTACCAGACAAACAAATAAAATGTAGTTTATACATTTAGTGTAGTTTACACATTTAATGGAAGTTGTGATGTCATTTAAAATTGGACTTTGTGGAATATTATTTTCATTAAACTTGAAACAAAATGGATGTTATTATCATATAGTTAAACCATGTATTGACCAAAATACTTTCATGGAGTGTGAAAAAATCTGGGCTTTAGAATAATATCAGAAATTATTACAAATATCTACATAAATACTTTGAACACCATTCCTACCTGTAATCAGTAATGCTTTTAAGAATATATGTACTATTAATCAATCTATTTACCTATATCTATCTATAAGTAGATGCATTTACAGAGCTGTGCTTTATATTTTGATGAATACATGTTAAAACATTAAATTTCATAGGTGTTTAAAAACTTTTTTGCTGTCTTTTGACTTTGAAATATGTAGATACTTAGAGGCTCTTGTAAGGTTTGTATAATTAATTTCCAATGTCTGCACATAAGGAAAGCTGGGATGAACTTTAATGGTGGTTATAAAATTTTACCCATTTAAAAATAAAACTAAGTTTTTTATTTTGCCAGCCATTTTATGAATTAGCTAATAATTATTGAGCTTTTACTAAATGTCAGGTGATATTCTAACACTCTGAATAGATATTATTGCTGCTTATTTCCCTTAAAAAGGCACAGAGAAGGTAAGTGACTTGCACAAGGTCACAAAACCCTGTTATCTTTCTCTAACATCTACCTGCTTAGTCACTATGGTGCGCTGCTTCCACATAATGCATATGCATTCATTGAATGCATCCCAGGATCTGACAACTATGCTTATGTCCTTTGAAAGTAGGCTTAATTATCTTCCCACGGCATTCTTACATCAATTTCTTAGAATTTACCTTGCCCAGTAGTGGCCTACATTTTTTTCCTATTTTGCAGCACTGTCCAAAGGGAAGACAGTCTGATTCTTTGCATTGTATGTGTGGACGTCATTATATGTCCATGTGCTGAGTCATCCTGATGGACCTTAGCAATCTATTGTTCTCCTTTAAGGAAATCATTCTTGTACTTGCCATGAGCAGATTTACGCCCCTGAATAAATAAGGATAGCATTGTTTAAAAAGAAAAAGGAAGTCATTCTTGTAGACTTTCCTTATTATTTTTCTATTCTAGCAATACAAATAAAAGAAACAAATTAATTCTTTCATCATCTTTCTCAGGAAGGAAATCAAAATATCCACTTTTAACAGCTTTACCAATTTAGTTATTCTTTTTTATCCACTACTCTACAGTTCAAATGCACTATTTTATTCACAATGCTGGGAACTTTTTCTAGCTATCAGATTCTTCAAGCAAGATAGAAACACCATCTAACTTAGATTATGGAGATACATAAAAATATGTTTATTCTTGTGTCGCCCAAGAAGGAAGGTAATAAACTAGGGCAAAACAAAGTCTTACACACATGTGATGTCAAAAGATTATATAGAATTCTTTCTCTTATAGTTAAGAAATGGTTGTTGAGACATTATTTCTCATTCAAGTTTGTTTATCTATAAGGCCAGTCACACTCTTAAATCATGTCTCTTTAAAAGGATGAGTAGGAGCTGGCCCCATGGCCCAGTGGTTAAAGTTCCTCACACTCCACTTCAGTGGCCAGGGTTCACGGGTTTGGATCCTGGGTGCAGAACTACTCCACTCATCAGCCATGCTGTGGAGGCATCCCATACATAAAAATAGAGGAGTATTGGCACAGATGTTAGCTCAGGGCTAATCTTCCTCAAGCAGAGAAAAAAGGATGAGTAAATGCTTCAGTTGCTTGAACAACTATATTTGGGGCATTCGTTGCTTATTAGCTCCTCAGTAATTTAATCTTATAAAATCTGTTTAATTATCCTAAAAATATGTAAACATCTTCTATCTGATCAATCTCACATGGCGCAGCTTTATAACTGGAAAGCCAATGAACAGTGCCATCTTATTTTGTAGTAGACACATAATAAATGAAGTACGTTTTTGTATCTTAAATAGTTTTTTTGATATCTTTCCAACTCCAAAGTTATATTTTTGACTAGTTTATAGCACAGGCATTCATTTTATTTTAAAGAGCTAATGAAGCGTTAGATGGAGGGTATTTAAGTATTATTTCATACTTGTTGGAACTTCTTTTTTAAGAGAATTTTATGTATGTAGAGGAGGTCTCAGAATAAAAAGAAAAAGTTGTGTCTGGATACCTGGAAACCTTTGCAAATGGTCCTAGAATTTGGGGAATTGGGACAGTTTTCATGTTATAGTAGCATGCGCTAGGAAAAGCATCATTAGCTCAGCTTATTCTAAACAATAGACTAGATATAGATTAGTTTTATTAGTATTAACTTTCAGAGAAAAGCATAGCGGTGCAATCCTTTCAAAAATTAAACCAAATGCTCCATTTACATGCATGCCCCAAGTTGATGGAATCTCTGATTTTGTGATTTCTAGTTATTGAGTGGTACTGAGCTTGCTGTTTAAACATTTGCCCCACTTTCCCTTCCATCTCGAGCACCAGATCCATGGTGTACCCCTCCAGCTTGAGATTGCCTGAGATCTTGGTAAGTGGTAAGCGGATCTTGGTAGGCCATCTCTAACTCCCTCACAGCAATTGCTTCGCTCCTCTCCCGGACTTGCCTCTCAGTGGCACAGGACATGATGAACACACAACAGCATCAACAGCAAATGTGAATTAAATTTCATTTTGCAAGTTTTTTGGCACGAGATTGTTAGACATACTTGAAAGGAATTCAAAGATATTATTTAGCTACACCTGGGAAAAACAATTTAGTGTCTTCACAAACGTTGCAAGTCTTATAATTATTCAAAAATACTCCTATAGATGGATTACCATCATAATAATGAACATTTCGTGGTATGTCTAGGTGCTAGGTCTGTTCTCAGCACTTCATATATATTAATGTGTAAATACTTCATAACAACCAAGTAAGTAGAACTATCATAGTTCCATTTTACAAATAATGGAAAATGGACATTTAGAGGTTAAATAACTTGCCCAAGATTACAAAGCCAATAAGTAGTGAAATTGGGATGTGAACCCAGGACACAAACTGAGTGCTCTCCTTTATGGCAGATAATTAAACAGTTGCATGAAAGAGCTTTTGGAATTTCCGTCATGAAAATATAATTTAAAATGACTCTACTTATGAGCATTTTGCCTGTTCAGAACAACTATAACTAAAGAACTCCAATTGTTAACTAATAGCAAGTGATATCACGAGTGTTAACTCTGGTTGCAAAGGAGCATCAGCAGATTGCAAATATGGGCTGAAATGAATGTTCAACATTCTGAAATAATTTGAAATTTTATAGTTATATTTTTTCACTTGATTTAAGCCACTAGAAAAATGTCACATTGATTAGATAAGTGTTATAATGGTTTAAATTTAACCCAAATCTTTCAAGAAGACTAAGTCATATCAACCTCTTATTGGTGGTTCTTCATTTAATCCCAGAGTCATATTAATAAACCCACTAATGTTCAAGCTACTCCTTCCTCCCCATGGAAGGCCAAATGTCCTATAAGCCTGATTTGCATTTGTCACCCTTAGGAATTAGGAAGGCTCATTAAACCATACCTTAGATAGAGAGATAAAAATGTGTATGTAATATTGAGAACATTAGAAATGCATTAAGAATAATAAAAGATCATTTGTTAAACTACATCTTCTTTGTTTTCTTATATTTAAACTATAATTTTCTTTTATACTTCAAAATATTATGTAATTGAGCATTTAAAAAATCAAAACCAATATAATACTACATATAGAACTCTGTAGTCTTTAAACTGAAATAGAATCATGGGTGTTTTTCTGGTGAATGATCCACCTACTTTCCTGTCCTCCACCTGTCCTCTCACAGATGAAATCTGACGCCTCTCTATAAAACCCGAAGGAAGAGAGAAAATTCACCTCTGAAGATTATTGCCAATAATCCTTCCATTGTTTGCTTTTCAAGCAAGTTAGTAGTAAGGCTTACAATTTTTTGTTTTCAGCTACTTGTAAAATTTACTAATTCAGATTCTTTACTAAATTATTTCTTGCCTTGATCCTGAGACTGCAGTATAGATCCAGGACAGGATAATAGACAAATCATTCTGTTGGTAATCAGTATAAGCACCTTCTGCAAACATTTTATTATTGGCTCTGAAACATGGACAGAAAAAGCTAGAAGTTTCAGAGACTCCAGAATAAATATAAAGACAAAAAGGAAAGTGGAATCCTTTCTGGTAGTAACTTAATTTTCCTAGTTATTTTGGACCCACATTTGAATCTCTGATCGTCCATCTCTATGTGAAGAGATGCAGAAAGTATTGCTTCTTGTTTCATTCTCTATGCATTCCACCCCTTTTTGGGTAACCAGGCAACAGGTCATAGGTAGATACATTGAGTGCAGAGTTCTCTCTTAGTGGCCACAGATAACATCTTTTGTCATATGCTAAAAAGGGTATTAGAGAGATGAGATTCAGTAAACGGGACGAGCTCTTGGGCCAGGATAGGGGTAGACACCAAGGTGCTACATAAATGGACCCACATATACACGATGTGCATCAGACCTCGTGACATTCATTTCCAAGCTGTTAGGTTACCAAGGAAGGAGCCTTACCCGGGCCTTCTGCTCCATTTCTAGCATTAATCTTTCATGTTGCTCAGCTATGGCCAGTGTCGCAGAATGCACCTTCTGATAGATCATTTCTCCTTCCCTTGTTTGAAAAGTGAATAGTCCTTCTCCTGTGTCACACATTCTGTGAGAACAGAGATAGGGAAAGAGATGGGTCTTCATGTGTTCAAGTGCGTAACAGTTCTCCATGTAAAAGATGCCTTTTCCCTGTGCTACCCTCCTCTGTGACTGTCATAGCAGTTAGTGAAGCAGATTTGTCCTAAACCAAACCACCCAACCCACAAGTGAGTCTTTAAATGATACTCGAGAACAAAACGAAGGGTGAAAATCCATGTATTTTTGGGTTTTTAAAGATGAAGCATCCACAACAGTGTAAAGGAACAGATAAAAGTGGTTTAGATTATTGCAATGCACGTCTTACCAATACTTAAAGAGTACAAACAAATGGTCATTTTCTTTAAGGATTTTCACATTTGTGACATCACAGCACTATCTCCTACGACTTGATACTGCTTGACATTTAAAGAACTCAAGAAAAATATGCAATTTTATGCTTATTGCAGTAGGACCAAGGAGGAGACTATACATTTCTTAGTTTATGAATTTGCATACATAGGCCGAAGCTTTTATTTAAACTGAGTAATCCTTACGTAAATCTTGGTACAACCTAGAAAACAACATGGCATAAAGGAGACTCTATTTGCATATTAGAACATTTGGTTTGAATTTTGGCTCTGCCACTTACCAGCAGTGTGACTTTGGGCAGGTTGAATAACTTGCCTGAGTCCCCTTATACACCTCTAATGTACAAAAAATAATAGTACCATCTCATAAGATCCTTACGACAGTTAAAAGACTTGATATACAAAATATTTATAGTGCTGTTTAGCACATATTAAGTGCTCAAAAGTGTTAGCTATTACTATTTTCAACATAGATAAAGTATGGAAGTAACCTCAAATCCACTGTGGAGAAATGGTTGGCTTAATTTTAGTATTTTTACCTGGACTATTATACAGCTATTACTATGACATTTCTGCCAGCATAAATTAATATTAAAAATTCTTATAAAGTAAATTCAAGAGGAAAAAATCAGAAAACAAATTATTTTTCAATTATTTAATTATAACTACTTTTTCAAATGTAATTTTTATTGGAATGAAACCGTGGACAATTTCTTAGGCAACAGGATTACAGGTCAGTTTTCTTAACAAAGACAAATAGTTTAAATTAATATTTTAAGCTAGCTTTTAAAAATAATCGGAGGCTTTTGGAAATACCCAATCAATATCAATATGATGTTCCTACTCAGATATTGGACGCTAACTGGATTGCTGTGCTGTTGGTTTTTCAGGTTATAAGAGTGTAACCACAGGCCTTCAGGACCAGTTCAACTGACCTCATCTCTTATCAACAGAGTAATTAAGAATTGCCTTTCAGAAAATGTGCCAAGTCGCATGGCCAGAGCACGCACAGAAGAGGAAATCTAGACCTGAAATGACCACGGAACCAAAGATCCTCCTTCCTATGGAACCCAAGGACCAGGACATGACTGGAACTTGAAAGTCGGACTCTTATCGGAAATGAGAAGTTCCTCATTCAGGAAGATCTGGTATTAAAATTTCTTCCCCACTTCATCAAAAACGTTCAGAACCCTATCATAAAAGTTTAGGGGCCGGCCCTGTGGCCGAGCGGTTAAGTTTGCGTGTTCCGCTTCGGCGGCCTAGGGTTTCGCTAGTTCGGATCCTGGGTGCAGACATGGCACTGCTCATCAGGCCATGTTGAGGCGGCATCCCACATACCACAACTAGAAGGACCCACAACTAGAATGTACAACTATGTACTGGGGGGATTTGGGGAGAAAAAGCAGAAAAAAAAAAAAGGGGGATTGGCAGTAGATGTTAGCTCAGGTACCAATCTTTAAAAAAAAAAAAAAAGTTTAGAACCTCATCATGCATGTTTAGAACCCTGTCATAAATGTCTAAAACCTTACCATAATTGCTTGAAGGCCCCTAATCAAAACCTGTCCCACCAGCATGTCCATGTGCCAGCCTGTTTTCCCTAACCTCTTAAATTTTACCCCAAATCCTGAATTGGGGAGACACAGCTGAAGGCACATGCCCCTTGCCTCCCTGCAGGTCGATCTCACAGAACCAAGCTGATCTCTTTTCCCAAAGGCTGATGTTGTAGTTAATTGGCCATTTATGCACATGAGGAAAGAGAACCCCAATTTTGTGCGGTAACAACATCAAAAGATTTGCACAAAAAGTTCATGACGCCAAACTACGTCTTCCAGTACCAAAAAGATTTTAGATTCTTCTCTATGATTCTCCAAGGAGTTTCAGTAGAAAAGAAATGTCTCAAGAGGATTCAGACATTACAGAGGCTGTGAATGCCATCCATTAAGGCCCCACAGAGCCAGCACTTAGCTTCTGTGAAAGAGATCTCAATAAAATTCACACAGCGTGAAATGGAAAGTCTGGGGGGAAAATGAAGGCTTTTCACAAAGTGAAACAAATGAGCTTTCTTTGTTGATTCAGAGGAGTAAAGCAATCCAACAGCAGGAGCATGAAAACCATTGATAAGTAGTGAGCGTTTCTTGTTTGAGGTTGAGTTTTGTTCATTGTCATCTGAAAAACACTGCTTATTTGCCTTGGGAAACGAGATAATGAAGACACAAATTGTTATTTCATACTCAGTCGTTGAGAGGTAAAAGGTCCAACACTTATCCACTTCCTGGAACTTAACTCTTCCCAGGTAGGGAGATTGAAAGCTGACAGTAAGAGTTTTCTAGCCTCTAAAATAAAAACCTAAGTTAACTTCATTCTTTGATCAAGAAACAAGGAATAAAAACAAGCTAGCATAAAAAAACAAAGCCATTTTAGTTAGAAGGTACTTAAAACCAAGCGGAAGTCAAAACTCTTCGGTAAAATTGGCTTGTATTTATGACTTTTGTCAGTCGTGTTGGGATGAACAGTTTAGGTTTCCCAGGTTTTTGTTTGAAACATGTTCTTTTGGGGGTGGTAAGGAACAGATATGGAGATTTTTTTCTTATATGTCTAAACAGTTTTGTGATAGCAAGCCAGTACTAGAGAAGATGATAAGGGGACAGATAAAATGATCTTGATGGCTACTGCCTTGGTAGTGGACTAGCACACCTGCATCATTGGAGCCTGTCCAGAGGACTGAATTGGAATCTGCATTTCAACACTATCTCCAGGTGATTCACATGCACATGATAGTTTGAGAAGAACTGGACAGTAGAACTCTTTCCACGGGTTACTATTTCATTAAAGGGGAGTGGGACCCAAATGAGGATAAATTAGAAGCCATATTTGCGCAGCCTAAGACTGTGACACATGAAGCAGAGGCTTAGAAAGGAAGAAAACGACAAAAAGAACTAAAAAACTAAAAGAATCTTTGTCTTAACTTGGGAAGACCTAAGATAGAGGTGCTAGTTGCATTTGAATATCCTAACCCCCTTGTCACCAAAATGCACATTCCTCAATTGCATTTATTCAGAGAAAAAGTGAGTATATGGAAATGAATATGTGTCCTGACTCCAAGCTGGAATTCTATTGAAGGTATTTGCATAAAATTAATACTTTTTCTTATTTAAAATAAAATGTTAAAGAATATAATCTCTAAGGTCCCTTTCAGCTTTAAAGAATAGTCTACAGGGCTTCATAACAATTCTAACAGGTAAGTAGGACTGACACTCTTATTTCCAGGTGTTTTCTTTTTTTCTTTGACATGATGATATAAAGGACATTATAATACTATAGGACCTGGAGACTAACGGGAAAATTTCAACCATGATGTCATGGCCTGTCATATTGATTTATCGCATATTTATCAAGAACTATAAGCCAGGTGCTGTCTTAAGCCTGGGGATGAAAAAGAGGGAAAAATATACAAGGGTCTTTGCCTCCGAGGCTTTTCAAGTAGTGGGGAAGGCCGCTACATTGTTCAAAGGCCAACACTTTCAACTGGTAAGTGCTGCCAGGAGAGGAATGGGGCCAAGGGGAAGTCAGCAGGGGATTGACCTGAGCAAGTTACTTTATCTCCTTACCCCTCGTCTATAAAATGGGGACAACAAGACTTTGTCACAAGATAGTTTTTTTCCTTTTAATTAAACGAACTAACGTGACAGTGGGCAGGAAAGGATTAATTTAGCAGGTATGGGTCGCTCAAACCCTGCACATTACAAAGAAAGTCCTTTTTTCCAAATGGCTCCTTGGCTGGCTTATAGAATGTAACCTCTCAGCTTTTGGAATATTCAGCCTGATAAGAGTTTGCATGTGCCTGAGGCCTTGGCCACGCTGTACCAGTTTGACCAAATGAGTGCATCCTAACAATGTGACTTGTGGTGAATGCCTGTTTTGCCTCTGGTGGAGACTGGAGTCTGAGTTGTCGAGCTCAGTCCTGTGGACACTGCACAGCTGTGTGACTGACCGTCAATAAAAATCTTGGATGCCAAGGCTTGGGGGAGCTTCCTTGGTTGACAACACCTCACATGTGTTATAACACGTCATTCTGGGAGAATTGAGTATGTCCCCATAGACTGTACTCGGGGACCCTGCAAGCTTGCTTCTGGTCTCTCCTGGTCTTCATCCCTGTGCTTTTCCCTTGGCTGGTTTGAATTGGCACCTTTCACTGCAGGAACCATAACTGTCAGTATAATGGCTTTTCCTGAGTCTTGTGAGTCTTTCTAGAGAATTGCTGAGCCTGAGAGTGGTCTTGGGGACCCTTCCACCCAAGGCAGTCAGCATGTTGTATATCTTGACATAATAATATTTTTTAGTCTTTTCCCTAAATGGCTTTTTTTCAAATTCCACTCCTCTAGGGATCTAAGAGAGTACTCTCTCTTTCTTATCCCATCTCACCACTCAATTCCAGAATCACTTGAAATAAAGTACTGTCCATCTTCTCTCTGCTGTGTTCTAATAAGGAAGGAATAGTAGAGTTCAGGTGAATGTATGTCTTCACAGGACACCGAACTCCCAGTGAGGCACTCCACTACGCATGGTTCTCATAGACGCCTTCAAGGGGACAAGCGGCCCTAAAATATGGTGCCCTGGAGGCAATTCCACTTGAGAAAAAGCCCCTACCAGGTAACCATTA